AAAGAAAGACAAATACCATGTGATTTCACTCATATGTGGAATTTAAGAAACAAAACAGATGAACATAGGGAAAGGGAAAAAAAGAGAGGGGAGCAGTGCATAAGAGACTCCTAACGATAGAAAACAAACAGGGTTGATGGAGGGAGGTGAGTGGTGGGGATGGGCTAGATGAGTGATGGGTATTAGGGAGGGCTCTTGTTGTGATGAGCACTGGGTGTTCTATATAAGTGATGAATCACTAAATTCTACTCCTGAAACCAATATTACACTGTATGTTAGCTAACTAGAATTTTTTTAAAGATTATTTATTTATTTATTTGACAGAGAGAGAGAGAGAGAGAGAGAGAAAGACAGCAAGAGAGGGAACACAAGCAAGGGGAATGGGAGAGGGAGAAGCAGGCTTCCTGCCGAGCAGAGAGCCCGGCATGGGGCTCAATCCCAGACCCTGGGATCATGACCTGAGCCGAAGGCAGAAACTGAACCAACTGAACCACCCAGGCATCCCACTAACTAGAATTTAAATAAAAGTTTAAAAAAATAAAATCATATTAATAGAAAAAAGTCTCTTTATAGAGACCACTGTTAAAGATGGAGATTGCCTGAATGTGGCAGGAGAAAGGAGTGGAAATGGAGAGGTCATAAGATTTTAGAAAGATTTAGGAAGTGAAATCAGCAAACCTTGGTGATTGATTAAAAATAGATTATAAGATGAGTCAAGATGAATCCCAAGTTTCTTTTCTGTATTTTGCATTTTGGCCTAGTTAGTAAACATTTGTTTAGTGTCAATTTTATGTATAGCTGAGAACTTCTAGAGAACCAAGATGTAAGATGTGGTATCCAAGAAGCATAAAATAGTAAATAAATACAAGAAGCATGAATACCTTATGCCGTATGCAAATGCAAATTAAGTTGTTACCTACCAAATACTTAATTTCAAAGAAAATGTAGGGTTGTTCAAGGAAGCTTCCTTGAATAAATGAACTTTTAGCTAGACTTTGAAAGAAAAAATGGTCATTTAATTGGGGGGGGCTTATAATTTCTGGGAGGGAAATGGCAAGTGCAAAGGCAAGAATGAACTCAGTCATGGAAAGAAGAGTGACATATGACTCCTTCAGGGCCAGATAGTTAGTATTTTAGGCTTTATGGGTCATGCAAAATTTGTTTCATGGTCTTCTTTTATTTTGTTTTGTTTTATAACATTTTTAAAATGTAAAAACCATTCTTATCTTGCAAACTATACAAAAACATGCCATGGGCTCTATATGACCCACAGGCTGTTTGTCAAATCCTGGATTAGTTCAGTGTAATGACCAGTCTGAATGAAGTTAATCACTTCTGTCACTCCAAGGGCAGGGTTCTCAATATTTTTAGATTATGAATCCCATAGGAATTCTGTTGAAAGCTGTGGATCCTCTCCATGGAAAAATGTAGGGCTACTCACACACACACAAACACAACTTTACATATTATTCCATGGATCCTAGGTAGCTCAAGAACTTGTCACTTAACTTTGGTTTTTTATATTGTTTGCAAAACAGGTTTTTATTTTCATATAAACAAATTTATCTTTTGTGCCTTTTGTGTCATATTAAAATGTCCATTCCTACCTCAATGTTGTCAATGTGTATGTAATAGGTTTTTTTTAAGATTTTATTTATTTGAGAGGGAGAAAACATGAGTGGGGGATGGGCAGAGGGAGAAGCAGACTCCCCACTGAGCAGGGAGCCTGACACAGGGCTCAATCCCAGGACCCTGAGATCATGACCTAAGCCTAAGGCAGATGCTTAACTGACAGAGCCACCCAGGTGCCCCAATGTGTAATAGTTTTATATTTTATTTATTTTAATATTTCAAGTTTTTACTTAAATTTTAGTTAACATATAGTCTAATGTTAGTTTCAAGAGTAGAATTTAATGATTCATCACTTACATAGAACACCCAGTGCTCATCACAACAAGAGCCCTCCTTATTACCCATTACCCATCTATCCCATCCCCTACCCAACTCCCTCCATCAACCCTCACTTTGTTTTCTATCGTTGAGAGTCTCCTATGCATTACCCCCCTCTTTTTTTCCCTTTCCCCTATGTTCATCTGTTTTGTTTCTTAAATTCCACATATGAGTGAAATCATGTGGTATTTGTCTTTCTGTGACTGACCTCCTTCACTTAGCATGATATATTCTAGCTCCATCCACATGGTTGCAAATGGCAAGATTTCATTCTTTTTGATAGCTGAGTAATGTTCCATTTTATATATGTACACCATATCTTCTTAATCCATTCATCAGTGCATGGACATTTGGGCACTTTCCATAATTTGGCTATTGTAAATAATGTTGCTGTAAACATTGGGGTGCGTGCATTCCTTTGAGTTAGTCTTTTTGTATTCTTGGGGTAAATACCTAGTAGTGCAATTGCTGGATCATAGGGTAGTTCTATTTGTAAATTTTGAGGACACTTCCAGAGTGGCTGCACCAGTTTGCATTCCCATAAACAGTGCAAGAGGTTCCCCTTTTTCTACGTCCTCACCAACATCTGATGTTTTCTGTGTTGTTAATTTTAGCTATTCTGACAGGTATGAGGTGATATCTCATTGTTTTGATTTGCATTTCCCTGATGCTGAGTGATGTTGAATATCTTTTCATGTGTTTGTTAGCCATCTGTATGTCTTCTTTGGAGAAATGTCTATTCATGTCTTCTGTCCATTTCTTAACTGGATTATTTGTTTTTTGGGTGTTGAGTTATATAAGATCTTTATATATTTTGGATATTAACCCTTTTAGGCTATATCATTTGCAAATCTCTCCTCCCATTCTGTAGATTGCCTCTTAGTTTTGTTAATTGTTCCCTTCACTGTGCAGAAACTTTTTTATTTTGATTAGTCCCAATAATTTATTTTTGTTTTTATTTCTCTTGCCTCAGGAGACATTTCTGGGAAAAAGTTGCTATGGTCGATGTCAGAGAGTTTACTGCCTGTGCTTTCTTCTAGGATTTTTATGGTTTCAGGTCTCACATTTAGGTCTTTCATCCATTTTGAGTTTATTTTTGTGTATGGTATAGGAAAGTGGTCCAGTTTCATTCTTCTGCATGTTTTTGTCCAGTTTTCCCAACACCATTTGTTGAAGAGACTGTCTTTTTTCATTGAATATTCTTTCCTGCTTTGTTGAAGAGTGATTGACCATACAGATGTGGGTCCATTTCTGGGTTTTCTATTCTGTTCCATTGATCTCATTGATCTATGTGTATGTTTTTATTTTTTATATTTTAATCTATCAGTAATATACTGTTTTGGATGATATGAATCCGAGTCAAATTTTCCAAATATTCATTTTTCCAAAACTAGTAATTGAGTAATCTGTCTTTTCTCTACTGTTATAAAATGCCACCTTTAACATACACATATTTCCATGTATACTTGGGGCTGTTTTGGAACTCCATTCTGTTCCCTTGATCTGTTCATCTTACTTTCTAAATGGCTGTAGCTTTATATATAATACGTTTTTTTTTAATATTTGGTAACACAGTTCCCCCATGCCTTTCTTCCTCTTTTTTTTCAAAATTATAAGTTTATTAATTCTGAATAGGAATTTTAGAATTAGCCTGTCCAGTACATGAAAATTTCCATGGGAATTTGGATTGAAAGTACATGGAATTTCGTGTATTAATTTGTGGGAGAATTTGTATCTTTTCATTATTGAATCTGCCCATGTTTGAGCATATTTCTCCATTCACATTTCCTTCACGTCCTTCAAGATTAGTTTTATAGATTTCTCCATAGTAGTCTTCCACATTTTTGTTTATTCCCAGACACATTATAGTTTTTGTTCCTCTTACAAATTTGATCTCATTTTTATTTACTTTTTCTAAATGAATAACCTGGTATATAGGAAAGTCTTTGATTTTTTGTTAACTTTTTATTTTGGTATAACTTCAAACTAACAGAAGTTGCAAGAGCAGTACAAGTACCTCCTTTATATCCTCTATCTACCTGTGTTTCCTTTTAAAATATTAAGGAGGGCACGTAATGCATGGAGCACTGGGTGTTAATACGAAAACAATGGATTGTGGATCACCACATCAAAAACTAATGATGTATGGTGACTAACATAACATAATAAAATTTAAAAAAATTTTTAATTAAAAAAATAAAATAAAATACTGGTTTCACTCATATGTGGAACATAAGGAATAGCATGGAGGACCATAGGGGAAGGGAGGGAAAACTGAAGGGGGGGAAACCAAAGGAGGAGATAAGCCATGAGAGACTCTAGACTCCGGGAAACTGAGGATGTCAGAGGGGAAGGGGTTGGAGGGGATGGGTTAGCCCGGTGATGGGTATTAAGGAGGGTATGTGTTGTGATGAGCACTTGGTATTATACACAACTAATGAATTACTGAACACTACATCAAAAACTAAGAATGTACTATATGGTGGCTGACAATAATAAAAAATTTTAAAAAATAAATTAAAAAATAGAATCATCAACATATTTTAAAAAATAAATAAAATAAAATATTTCAGTAGCTTCACTTTCCAAATTTAGAACTCTGATCTGTTTTGAGTTTATCTTGGAGACTTGGTGGCAATATGAAGTATGGACCCAATTTTATCTTTTTTCCAAATGGCTATCTAGTTGTCCCAACACCATTTATTTTAAAATTCATATTTTTCCCAGTGATTATAGCTGTCAGTTTATTAGATAACAAATTTCTGTACACATTTAGCTATATTTTTGGATGTTTTATATTCTTTTGTGGTTTTATCTGCTATTCCTATCCCAACATCGTATTGTTTTAATCGTAAAGTTCTACAGTATGTTTTGTATTTGGTAAGGGGCTAGTGCTCCCCTTAGTGTTCGTGCTTGTTTCTTGGTAGAAGACTTTTTGAAGGAAGTTTTCTGACTACTGATAGTTTTTAAATTTTCCTAAATAAATATTTATTTTTATAAGATAATGTAAAATAATATAATAAATAATATAAAACAATGCTTTTCCCTAGAACTGCAATATGCAAACACCGTGATGCGCTTTGATTATGTCTGGCTTCGAGACCACTGCCGCTCAGCATCTTGCTACAACTCTAAGACTCACCAGCGCAGCCTGGATACTGCCAGTGTGGATTTATGCATCAAGCCAAAGACCATTCGTCTGGATGAGACCACACTCTTTTTCACTTGTGAGTATACAAGAGACTTGGTCTTGGTTGGGGTACCCTTCTAAAGAACAATTATTTTGCAAAAACTGGTTTGCCCTGTTCCAAAATAGGGGATTCTGGTTTTTTTTTTTTTATTGAGGTATAATTAACATACAGTATTTTATTAGTTTCAGGTGTATAGCATTGATTTGACAATTCTGTACATTACTCAGTGCTCACAGTGATAAGTGTAGTCACTATTTGTGACCATACAATGTTATTACAATATTACTGACTATATATTCCCTATATGATACCTTTCATCTCTGTGACTTAATTTTATAACCGGAAACTTGTACCTCTTAATCCTCTTCGCCTATTATGTCCCTCTTCCCCACCGCCACCACAGAAGCCACCAGTTTGCTCTCTTATTTAAGATTCTGGTTTTTTGTTTGTTCATTTGTTTTGTTTTTTAGATTCCACATATAAGTGAAATCATGTGGTATTTGTTTTTCTGTCTGATTTATTTCACTTAACAGATACCTTCTAGGCCCATCCATGTTGTAGCACATGGCAAGATCTCATTCTTTTTTATGGCTGAGTAATATTCCATTGTGTGTATATACCACATCTTCTTTATCCATTCATCTATCTATGGTCACTTGGGTTGCTTCCATATCTTGGCTTTTGTAAAGCTGCAATAAACATAGGGGTGCATATATCTTTTCAAATTAGTGTTTTCTTTGGGTAAATACCCAATAGTGGAATTATTGGATCGTATGGTATTTCTATTTTTATTTTTTGAAAACCTTCATACTGTTTTCCACAGTGGCTGCACAAATTAACATTCCCACCCACAGTACATAAGTGATCCCTTTTCTCCACATCCTCAGCAACTTGTTATTTCTTGTCTTTCTGATACTAGCCATTCTCACATGTAAGGTGATATCTCATTGTGGTTTTGATTTGCATTTCCCTGATAATGACTGATGTTGAGCATCTTTTCATATGTCTGTTGGCCATCTGAATGTCTTCTTTGGGGAAAAATGTTTATTTGGGTTCGCCACCCATTTTTAATCAGAGTATTTGTTTTTTTTCATGTTGAGTTGTGCAAGTTATTAATATATTTTGGATATTAACCCTTTATTATATATATCATTTGCAGATATCTTCTCCTATTCACTGGGTTGCCTTTTTGTTTTATTGATGGTTTCCCTTGCTGTGCAGAAGCTTTTTATTTTGATGTACTCCCAATAGTTTATTTTTGCTTTTGTTTCCCTTGCCTCAGGAGACATATCTAGAAAGAAGTTGCTACAGCTGATGTCAAAGAAGTTACTGCCTCTGTTCTCTTCTAGGATTTTAATGGTTTCAGGTCTCACATTTAGGTCTTTCATCCATTCTGAGTTTATTTGTGTAGGGTATAAGAAAGTAGCCCAGTTTCATTCTTTTGCATGTATCTGTCCAGTTTTCCCAACACCATTTGTTGAATAGACTTCTTCCCATTGGATAGTCTTTCCTGCTTTATCAAAGATTAGTTGACCATAGAGTTGAGGGTCTACTTCTGGGTTCTCTATTCTGTTCCATTGATCTAGTCTGTTTTTGTGCCAGTACCACATCATTTTCATTACTACAACACTGTAGTATATCTTGAAATCTGGGATGGTGATACCTCCAGCTTTGCTCTTCTTTCTCAGGATTGTGGTGGCTATTCAGGGTCTTCTGTGGTTTCATACAAATTTTAGGATTATTTGTTCTAGATCTGTGAAAAATGCTGTTGGTATTTTGATAGAGATTGTATTGAATCTGTAGATTGGTTTGGATAGTATGAACATTTTAACAATATTAATTCTTCTAATCCATGAGTATTAGATTTCTTTCCATTTTTTTGTGTTGTCTTCACTTTCTTTCATAAATGTCTTATAATTTTCAGGGTATAGGTTTTTAATCTCCTTGGTTAAGTTTATTCCTAGGTATTTCATTCTTTTTGGTTCAGTTATAAATGGATTGTTTTCTTCATTTTTCTTTCTGCTACTTCATTATTAGTATATAGATACACAACAGATTTCTGTATATTAATTTTGTATCCTGCAACTACTGGGTTTATTTCCAGAATAAATGTATTTCTTTGCAATTTCTTGTGAATGTATAATTATTTCAAAATAAAAATTAAAAGAAAAAAGCATTGGAGGAAAAAATATTTACAATCAATACATTTGACTACTGATTTCTCTACAGTAAAAAAACACATGCCATAGAAAAGTTTATTAAAAAAAACTGATTTGGCAAAATATTTGAAAAATGTATGACAAAGACTAAAAACCATTAATATATAAGGTGTTACTGCCAGTTTGTTAAAAAAAAAAAGCACTAGTATTTCAGTAGAAAAATGTGAAAAAGTAGTGAACAGGCAGATCATTAAAGCATGAGTCAGCAAATATTCTGTAGAGAGCCAGGTAGTAAAGACTTTTAGGTTTTGCTGGCTGTACAGTCCCTGTCACAACTGTTCAACTATTTAGTTCTTCAGTAGTAGGGTGAAAGCAGACATAGACAAGAAGTAACCAAGTGGGTATCATGTGTTCTAAACTAGGTGTCACAAAGACAACTGCCAGGCAGATTTGGCCCATGGGCCATAGTTTGGTAATCCTTGCATTTAAAAAACATATGTCTGTACAGTGGCTAATAGACACGTGAAAAATGCTCAACGTCACTGATTATTAGGGAAATACAAATCAAAACTACAATGAGGTATCACCTCACACCTGTCAGAATGGCTAAAATCAACAACACAGAAAACAACAGATGCTGGCAAGGGTGCGGAGAAAGGGGAACCCTCCTACACTGTTGGTGGAAATGCAAACTGGCGCAGCCACTCTGGAAAACAGTATGGAGGTTCCTCAAAAAGTTAAAAATAGAAGTACCCTACAGCCCAGCAATTGCACTACTAGGTATTTACCCAAAGGATACAAACATAGTGATCTGAAGGGGCATGTGCACCCCAATGTTTATAGCAGCATTATCAATAATAGCCAAACTATGGAAAGAGCCAAATGTCCATGGACAGATGAATGGATAAAGAAGATGTGGTATATATACACAATGGAATATTACTCAGCCATCAAAAAGAATGAAATCTTGCCCTTTGCAACAACATGGATAGAGCTAGAGTATATCATGCTAAGTGAAATAAGTCTGTCAGAGAAAGATAATTATATGATTTCACTCATATGAGGAATGTAAGAAACAAAACAGATGAACATAGGGGAAGGGGAAAAACAGAGAGAGACAAACCATAAAACAGACTCTTAACTATAGAGTACAAACTGAGGATTGCTGGAGTGGAAGTGGTGGGGAGATGGATTAAATGGGTGATGGGGATTAAGGAGGGCACTTGTGATGAGCACTGGGTGTGATATATGAGGGATGAATCACTAAATCCTCCACCTGAACCTAATATTACACTATATGTTAACCAACTGGAATTTAAATAAAAACTTGAAACAAAATAATAAAAATAAAAAACATGTCTAACAAATATAAATGTCTAACAAATGTTATTAGCTTATTAGTAAGTGAATAAATTAAAATTATTACAGTAAGAGAAGTTTTACTTACCAAATTGGAAAAAATATATTTAAAAAATAAGAATACTCAGTTTTGATCGGCACACATATATTGTTGGAGAGAATGAAAATTAGTAGACTTTCTAAAAAAGTAATTTAGTTAAATGCATCAAGACTCTTAAAAGTTTATATCTTTGGATTTAACAATCCCACCTTCTGTGTTTCTATTTTAAGAAAATTATCAGAAATATGGGTGCCTGGGTGGCTCAGTCGTTAAGCGTCTGCCTTCGGCTCAGGTCGTGATCCCAGGGTCCTGGGATTAAGTCCTACATCAGGCTTCCTGCTCGGCGGGAAGCCTGCTTCTCCCTCTGACCCTCTCCCCTGCTTGTGTTCCTGTTCTCGCTGTCTCTCTCTCTCTGTCAAATAAATAAATAAAATCTTTAAAAGAAAAGAAAAAAGAAAATTATCAGAAATATAGACAAGTGGGGCACCTGGGTGGCTCAGTCAGTTGAGCATCTGGCTTTTGGTTTCGGCTCAGGTTATGATATCAGGGTTGTGAGATCGAGCTCCACACCTGGCTCCACACAAAGTGCAGAGTCTGCTTTGGATGCTTTCTCCCTCTCTGCCCCTCCCTGCTGGGCTCTCTCTCTCTCCTAAAAAATAAATCTTAAAGAAAAAAAAAAAGAAAAGAGGGGAACCTGGGTAGCTCGATCCATTAAGCATCTGACTCTTGATTTTGGCTCAGGTTGTGATCTCAAGATTGTGAGATCAAGCCCTACATGGGGCTCTGTGCTCACCACAGAATCTGCTCAAGATTCTCTCTCTCCCTCTGTCCCTCCCCCCACTTGCATGCTCTCTCTCTCTCTCTAAAATAAATAAATAAATCTTTGAAAAAAAGAAAAGAAATATAGACAAGGATGATCACTATTAAATAATAAGGAAATTTAAAAAAATAAGACTACATGCCCTAGAACAGGCTGGTTAGGTAAATCTTGGTAGTCAATATTCTGCAAATTGTAAGAATTAATTTTTATGAAGATTTAATTTTTTTAAGTTTTAATTTAAATTCCAGTTGGTTAACATAGTGTAATATTAGATTCTGGTATAGAATTTAGTGATTTAACACTTGCATACAACACCTGGTGCTCATCACAAGTGCCCTCCTTAACACCCATCCCCTATTTCACCCATCCCCCACTCACCTCCCTTCTGGTAACCATCAGTGTGTTCTCTATAGTTAAGAGTCTGAATTTAAGAAACAAAACAAACGATCATAAGTGAAGATTTAACTTTTTAATGATATAATGACTATTAAAATATTAAGTGACAAAGGCAGGGTACAAACATATATATACAAATATATATATATATTATATAAAGTAAAAGAATGCATGGAAAAAAGTGGAAGGAATGATGACAAGCTATTAATAAGGGTTTCATCTGTCTGGTAGAATGGTAAATATAAGTGATTTTAAAAATATCCTCATACTGGGGTGCCTAGGTGGCTCATTTGGTTAAGCGTTAGACTCTTGATTTTGACTCAGGTCATGATCTCATGGTGGTGAGATCAAGCCCCATGTCAGGCTGCACGCTTGGCCCCTCCCCCCCCACTTGTGCACTCTCTCTTTCTCTTTCTAAAATAAATAAATAAATCTTACTAAGGAGGGCACATGTTGTGAGGAGCACTGGGTGTTATACGCAACTAATGAATCATTGAACACTACATCAAAAACTAATGATATACTATACAGTGGCTAACTGAACATAATAAAAAAATTTCCTCACACTTTTTTATGCTTTACAAATTCCTTATGGTACTTTTATTGTCAAGGAGTAGGAAGCCAAAACAGAGACAGAGAAGTAAAAAGAAGTGAAAGAAGAGATAAGATGCCAGCAAAGCTTTTCACTCCCCTTGCTATATATCCTTTGCTTATCCTGAAGATTTCCTAAAGCATTTTGGAGGGAGGATTTTTTTTTTTTGCCTTTTGTTTTTTTTTTGGCACTGTGGGCAGTCATTTATGAAATCACTTTATCATGTTATATTGATGTCATTTAGGTCAAACTGCCCCAATTCATTTAGTCCCTTCTAGTTGGTGAGATTTATTTGTTCATTCATTCATTAGTTCATACTACTCAACCTGCAAATACTTCTGTTTCAGGAATATCCTAGGCACTCATTTTAATTTCATTTCATAAACAATATAGCACTGGGTAATTGATTGCTAAAAATAACATTCTTAACCAGTAAATTATTGGCAGTAATTATAACTATTATTTTAATACCTTTTATTTTTCCCTTTAAAGGGCCAGATGGTCATGTGACTAAATATGATTTGGATTGGCTGGTGAGAAACAGCTATGAAGGGCAGAAACAAAAGGTCATCCAACCTAGAATCTTATGGAATGCTGAAATCTATCAGCGAGCCCAAGTTCCATCTGTAGATTTCCAAAGCTTCTTAGAAACCAATGAGGGATTGAAGAACTTTCTGCAAAATTTTCTGCTGTATGGAATTGCATTCGTAGAAAATGTCCCTCCCACTCAAGAACACACAGAGAAGTTGGCAGAAAGGATCAGCTTGATCAGGTAATTTATTAGTTTCTAATATCTATGGTAATTAATTTGCAGAGTGTCAACACCAGTAAAATAATTTAACAGGGTATGGTCACACTGTTTTTGATCCAGAATATTTTGTGTCCTGAATAAGGGGATTCCCATTTATAGTGCTTTATTTGAGGCCCAGATTTCTAATCTCTGAAGACACTTACATGTTAAATATGATGACTTCAAAGTCATTGGTATATTCTTTGAGCCTAGTGGTCCTCAAAGTAACAGGTATCATTATACACTAGAAATAGCACTGACTTTGAGTAAACAGAGCCAGGCAGTAGTCTAAGTTCTACCCTCAAGCAATTGTGTGAACATAGACAACTCCATTACATACATACCTATACCCTCCACCTGCACCCCCTGGCCTCAATTTTCCCATCTGATCAATAAGAGGATTGAATAAGATGGTGTCTAAAGATCATCCAGTTTTGACCTATTATGATTCCTAAGGCTTGATTCAGACACTAGTTGTTAATAACATTGCCTTACACTATATAGCATTTAACCAACATATTCACGCCCATTACTTTCTTTTGGTCATTATAGAAATCCTGATGGGTGTATATTTTATCCCCTGTTCTGCTGATGAGCCACTTGAGACACATATAATAAGTAAGTGGCTTGCCCAGCATTACTCTGCTAGTAAGAAGTAGAACTGGGATTCAGTGGGGGACCTAAGATGGTGGTGTAGTAGGAGGACCCTAAGCTTGCCTCATCCCTCAAACACAGCTAATTAACTGGGTGTTAATTCTGAATACCCAGGAAATTGACCTGAGGACTGATAAAACAAACTGCACAAGTAGAGGGAGAGAAGAGGCCCCATAGAGGAAGGTCGGAAGTAAAGAGACATGGTTTGGGGGAGAAAGAGAAGGCGAGTGCTATGGAGGGGAGGGAGCCCTGGTTGCAGAGAAAAGCAAGAGAGAGTGGAGTGCACGGGGATAAGCACAAGGAGAACAGTTCCCCAAAGCCATTGGCTGGGAAAACAAGAGGGGCCAATTTTCATGAGTTTTTGCAACCAGCTGGGCTCAAAGACTGGTTTTAGAGGTCCACAGGCTTGGCTGGGCTAGAGACCTGAGGGCACTACTCCTGGAGAGAAGGAAGGCAAACAACCCCAGGGCAGACAGTGCAATCTGAGGATTGCCTAAGGCACACAGGGAGAGACTGTTCACTCTTCTTGGAGCACATCTGGGAGAGATGGCTTTGCTTCTCTGGGGACAAAGGAGCCCATAGGCACCATTTCCCTCCCCCACCCTTCAGCATAGGTCCAGAGACACCTGCTGAAGGCGGCTAACCCAGACACTGGCTGTTTAACCTGCTTTGCTCCAAATTCCATGCCCCTGTGCTCAGCCATGACTGCCCTTCTGGGTCAAACCTGCATCAGTCCCAGCATGGTGAGACCATCCCCCCAAAAGACCAGCTCAGATCCCCACCACACCAGATCCCTAAAGATTAGAGTTTTAAAAGTCACCAGGCTTGGCTGGTATAGAGCTCAAAGGGCACTCTGCTGCTCCAGGCAGGCAAGCAACCCAGAGATGCTGTAAAAACACCGATCTAAAAAGTGCCTAGAACACATGAGGGCAAATTATTCACTTTTCTAGGAGTGCTTCCCTGAGAGCAGCAAGCACGAATTCCTCTCTCCGGGGACAAAGGAGCTGGCTGGTGCCATTTCCCTCCCCTGTCCCACAGCATAAACCGACTTCAATAAACAGCACAGTGCCCACACTGGCTGCCTGATCTGCTTATCCCAAGTGCCACCCCCCACCCCCATACTCTGCTGGTATTGCTTTTTTCCTGCAAGCATGCCTAAGGACCTGTGCAGCAGGCCCCTACCCCAGAAGACCAGCAGAAACCCCTGCATGCACCACGTCTACCGACCATAGAGTTCTGCAAGGCTTCAGTTCTAGTGGAAGTGGTATCAGGTCTCATTTAACAAGCAGACCAGAGCATACCTAGTTAAAACTCACCACATTCTGGCCAAGGTCCAAACACTGCCAACCACAGACAATGAGAAACTCTGCAGAGGACTGACCTGAGGGATAGAGCAGCCAAAACACAGTAGCAGAGTGCATGCAGCACAAACCAGAGACATTCCTTAATGCACCCAGCCCTGGACATTATATGACTTCTTCTTCATAAAGCCGTTACTCTCAAGCAGGAAACATAACAGGCTTTCCTAACACAGAGAAGACAAAGACCTAGACAAAATGCCAAGACAGAGGAATTCATCCCAAAGAAAAAAAGAAAAGAAAAGAAAACAGGAAGAGGTTACAGCCAGAGATCCAAGGGAAATAGATATAAATAACATGCCTGATGGAGAATTTAAAACAAAAATCATAAGGATACTCGCTGGGCTTGAGAAAAGAATGGAAGACTTCAGGGAGGCCCTTACCACAGAGATAAAAGAGTTAAATAAACAACCAGTGAGAAATAAAAAATGCAGTAACTGAGATTCAAAACTGGATGTAATGACCACAAGGATGGAAGAAGCAGAGGAGTGAATAATGATATAGAAGACAAACTAATGGGGCACCTGGATGGCTCCAGTGGTTAAACATCCAACTCTTGTTTTCAGCTCAGGTCATGATCTTAGGGTCATGAGATTGAGCCCTGCATCGGGCTCCTTGCTGGGAGTGGAGCCTGCTTAAGATTCTCTCTCTCCCTCTCCCCCATCTCTCTCTCTCTCTCTCTGTCTCTCTCCCCTCCAAAAAAATTTTTAAAAGACCACAAAATAATGGAAAATAATGGAGCTGAACAAAAGAGAGAAAGAATTATGGAACAGGAGAACAGACTTAGGGAACTCAGTGATTCCATCAAATGTAATAATATTTGTATCATAGGAGTCCCAGAAGAGAGAAAAACGGGGGCAGAAGAGGAAATAGTAGCTGAAAATTTCCCTAATCTGGGGAAGGAAACAGACATCCAGATCCAGGAGACACAGAAAACTCACATCAGAATCAACAAAAGCAGGGGCACCTGGGTGGCTCAGTCATTAAGCATCTGCCTTCGGCTCAGGTCATGATCCCAGGGTCCTGGGATCGAGCCCCACATTGGGCTCCCCACTCCACGGGAAGCCTGCTTCTCCCTCTCCCATTCCCCCTGCTTGTGTTCCCTCTCTCACTATGCCTCTCTCTGTCAAATAAATAAATAAAATCTTTTAAAAAAATCAACAAAAGCAGCCCAACACCAAGGCATAATGTAGTTAAATTTGGAAAATGTAGTGATAAAGAAAAAATCCTAAAAGCAGCAAAACAAAAGAAGTCCTTAACTTAGAAAGGAAGACCCATTAGGTTAGCTGTAGATCTCTCCACAGAAACTTGGCAAGCCAGAAGAGTGTGGCATGACGTATTCAATGTGCTGAATGGGAAAAATCAGCAAACAAGAATACTCTATCCAGCAAGGCTATCATTCAGAATAGGAGAGAGAGTTTCCCAGACAGACAAAAACTAAAAGTGTTAGTGGCCACTAAACCAGCCCTGCAAGAAATATCAAAGGATACTCTCTCAGTGGAAAGGAGAAACCAAAATTGACAAAGACAGGATAGGATCAGAGAAAATCTCCAGAAACAATGAGAAAACAAGTAATAAAATGGCAATAAATACATATCTATTGATAATTACCTTGGATGTAAATGGACTCAATAAATGCTCCAATCAAGACATAGGGTGTCAGAATGGATTAAAAAAAAAACAAGACCCATCTATATGCTGCCTACAAGACTCATTTTAAACCTGAAGACACCTGCAGATTGAAAGTGAGGGGATGGAGAACCATTTATCATGCTAACAGACATGAAAAGAAAGGTGGAGTAGCAGTACTTATATCACACAAACTACATTTTAAACCAGACTGTAACAAGAGATGAAAAAGGGTGCTATATCTTAGTAAAGGGGACCATCCAACAAGAAGATCTAACAATTGTAAATATCAATGCCCCTAACTTGGGAGCACCCAAATATATAAAACAATAACAAATATGAATGAACTCATTGATAATGATACAATAATAGTAGGGGACTTTAACACCCACTTACAGCAATGACCAGATGATCTAAACAGAAAATCAACAAGGAAACCATGACTTCGAATGACACAGTGGACCGGATGTACTTAACATATATTAGGAACATTCCATCCTAAAGCAGCAGAATACATATTCTTTTCACGTGCACCTGGGACATTCTCCAGAATAGATCACATACTAGGTCAGAAATCAGGCCCCAACAAATACAAAAAGATTGAGATCATACCATGCATGTTTTCTGACCACAACACTAAGAAACTGGAAGTCAACCACAAGAAAAAATTTGGAAAGACCACAAATACATGTAGGTTAAACAACATGCTACTAAACAATAAATGGGTCGACCAGGAAATCAAAGAAGAAATAAAAAAAATACCTGGAAACAAATGAAAATGAAAACACGGTAGTCCAAAACCATTCAGATACAACAAAAAGTGGTCATAAGAGGGAAGCATATAGCAATACAGGCCTACCTTAACAAGCAAGAAAAATCTCGTGGTTGTTTCTCTCTCTTTTTCTCAGCCTCTTTATTTTCCATCATTTGGTCTTCTATATCGCTGATTCTCTCTTCTGCCTCATTTATCCTAGCAGTTAGTGCCCCCATTTTTTATTGCACCTCATTAATAGCCTTTTTGATTTCGACTTGGTTAGATTTTAGTTCTTTTATTTCTCCAGAAAGGGTTTCTCTAATAACTTCCACGCTTTTTTCAAGCCCAGCTAGTATCTTTAAAGTCATGATTCTGAACTCTAGGTCTGACATCGTACTAATGTCCGTATTGAGTAGGTCCCTGGCTGACGGTACTACCTCTTGTTCTTTTTGCTGAGGTGATTTTTTTCGTCTTGTCATTTTGTCCAGAGGAGAATAGATGAATGAGAGAACAAAATGCTAACAGGTTAAAAACGTCCCCAACAAATATACTCTATAGAAATCAGAAAAGACCTGAAACCAGGGGAA